TTAATCATCCCTCCTTTAGGAAATCTTCCTGTGTCCCTAGTGAGTTAAGTACCCTTCCTGTGCTGTCCTAGTAGTACCCGTCATACTGATTCTGCAATCTACTTATCTGCCTTCTTCTCCCACTAGGAATATTGATTATATGTCAAACACCACAGCAAGAACTTGACATGGATTCTCTCATTTAATATTTACAGTAACTCCAGGATAGGTACTATTATGATCACATTCTAAAGAAGGGGAAACCATGCTTCAGACATTTGCAGCAAACTTCTGTAAGAAAGTGGAGGAACGTGGGCTGGGGAGATGGCTCAGTAGAATAAGTATTTGCCTGGCAAGTGCAAGAGCCTGAGTTCAATCCTGGGTTCCAACAACAACAACAAAAAAAGTGGAGGAACAAACAGCTGGCCAAATAGCTCAGTGGATTAAAGCTCCTGCAAGCAGACTCAGGGGCTGAGGGTTCCATCCCGGGCCTGCTGGGCTAGCCCCGGGGTGTGTTGAGACAGTAATTGACACTGGGTGTGGTGACGCCTGCCTGTAATCCCAGCTCTTGGGAGGCTGTAAGCAGGCGGATCACTACTACGAGTTCCATCTAGTAGTGAGACCCTGAACACCCTGTAGACCCTTCCCTAAAAAAAATAAAAAAAAAAAAAAAAAAAACAGGGGCTAGGGAAATGCTCAATAGAATAAGCGCTTGCCTTGCAAGCACAAGGGCCTGAGTTCAATCTTCAGTTCTGCCAAAAAAAAAAAAAAAAAAAGGAAAGTGGAGGAAAGGAGACTAGACACCAAGACCTTAACACTGAAATAACCCACAGGTGCTTGAGTTTTATGATTCCAACACCCAGTCCACGCTTGAATACCCTGGGCTGGGCTGGAGGCAGTGGAAAATTACAGGAATCGTGACTCCTAGCAATTGGCTCGGATCTTCAGGGCTATGTAGTGGGTGGAGGGGAGGCAGCGCAGACTGAGCCTCTGGATGACCTAAAATGACCAGTTCCTTTCTTAGAGCACCTGGGATGAGGAAACTGATAACAGTAACATGGTGAAAAAAGTACCATTTCTTATCGTATTTGATACTTTTTTTCCTTTGTGCTCCTTTTTAATATTTCACTCCCGAATAAGCCCAGGCAGCATGGCATTGTAATGGTAAATGGGGTAGCAACAGCTGCCACCTTACACTGTCAGATACTATATACTAACAATGCAACAGGCTTCCTTAAGCTTTGTCGCATTTCATCCCTTTTTACAGGTTATTATTTCTCCTATAGGTGAGGAAATTAAGCCTGAGAGGTCTCAGAAGCTTCGTCCAAAGGTATATAACTGCTACGTGGTAGAGTTAGGGCTCTAGCCCAGTTCTGTCTAGCCTGTCACTGCTTCTAAAATGCATACAAATTATTCCCAAAGCTTATTAAGAAACAGATTTCTAGGCCCAGACCAGGTCTGAGGTAGGACCCAAAAATATGGAGTTTTTGTTGTTGTTCTGTTTCTTATTGTTCTGCAGTACTGCGGTTTATTTTGGTTTTGTTCTTCTGAAACTGGGTCTCACTATGTAACTCGGGACAAGCCTTGAATTCACTGTGGTAATCCTCCTGTCTTGGCCTTCCAAGCATGGGTCACATGTGTGTGCCACCACACCAGGCTCCTGCCCTGAGGGTTGAAGCCAGGGCCTCTGTACTGAGCTACATCTCCAGCCTTTCTTAAATTCTTTTTTTAAAACAGGGTCTCGCTAAGTCACTAAATTGCTCAGGCTGGGCTGAAATTTGTGATCCTCTTCCCTCAGCTTTCCAGAGTGCTGGGATTACAGACACACACCATGCCACCCAGCTATAGAGTATCTTCTTTTAACAGGCTCTCAGGTGACTCAGATGCAGACCAGTCACTGAGAAACAATGCACAATGGCAACGTATGCCTACACTGTGCTCCACAGGAATGCTATCATGTCACAAAAATGACTAGGAAAAAAGGGGGGGGGGTTCCCATGGTTAAACACATTTAGCAGATAAAGAATTCTGAGATACCCTATTATGAACAAATGTATTCAACTGTACTTAACAAATGTCCTACACTTATAAGATCACAGAATCCTCCTCTATTTATAATACCTATTGCTAGGCACGGTAGCACACACTTGAGAGACTGAGACAGTATAATCGAAAGCTGTAGGGGCCGGGGAGATGGCTCAGTGGAATAAGCGCTTCCCTGGCAAGCGCAAGGGCCTGAGTTCAATCCCCAGTTCCACCAAAAAAAAAAAAATGAGGCTCCTCCTCCAATAAGGATAGCCAAGTTCACCAGGAAAACCATGATGACAAAGTCCTCAAAAGAAGGCTGTAGCCCAGGGCTGGTGAGATGACTCAGTGGTCTAAAGCACCTACTTAGAACAAGTTTAGCAAAGCACAGGGACTGCAGTTCAATCCCCCAGCACCACATGCCAGCCAGCCCTGCCCCCTGGTGGGCTGAGCTGCCCCCCCCCCCACACACACAAATAAATAAATAAAATTATAAAATACTTAAAAAAAAAATGCTGTAACCCAGCCTGGGCAACTTAGTGACTTACGAAGACTTGTCTCAAAATAAATGATAAAAGTAAAATGACTAAGGGCTGGCTAAAGAGCTCAGTGGACTAAAGCGCCTGCAAGCAGGCACAAGAGCCAGGGGGTTTGATCCCCAGGCCTGGTGCCAGCCCGCCCCCAGGCGCGCTGAGACAGTGATTGAGACAGGGCATGGTGGCACATGCCTGTAATCCCAACTCTTGGGAGGCTGTAAACAGGTGGATCATTGAGTTCAATCTAGTAGTGAGACCCTGAACACTCTGTAGACCCTTCCCTAAAATACAAAAAAAAAAAAAAAAAAGTAAAATGACCAGAGATGTAACCAAGTGCAAAGGCCCTAAATTCAATCCTTAATACTGCCCGAAACAAAACAAAACAATTAACATCTCACAAGACTCAGAAAATGGAATGTAGTTTGGAAAACTATTGTTTTACTTCCTCCTAACCTGAGCCAACACTCGCCTCTCTGCCTACCTCTGCTAAGTATGCAATAAAAGTTCTAAATTCTAGCCCTGGCCACACCTTCACTTGCTGTGTGTGACCTTTGGTCCATGTAACCTCTCTGGTTTGTTTCTCAGCTGAATATTAGGGGTAATAATGCCTGCATGCCTACAGGTCTCCATGATTGGTGTAATGGACAGCCAATTGCTAGTAAACAGTACAGAGCTACAATTCCTGCAAGTCCCTTATGATATCATTTAGCATGTGGCTGTGGTTAGTTGTATGCTAAGATACCATTTAATCTTATTTTCTAATTTTTCCTGCATGAGTTTTCTCTTCTAAAGTATGATGTGATTTCAGGCAATCCAGGATCTCTTTATGTCCTCTTCCAAAATGGAGACTGTTTTGAGGGCCTCCCAGGACTGACCTTCTAGGACTCTAGTAAAATTCAAAATACTGACAGGTGACGTATGTTACACCTTCCTCTATACCAAGTGCCTTATAGACATCATCACATTTCATAATAGCTCCATGTATACCCTATTCCATCTATATATGTGTGTGTGTGTATATATATAATTTTTATATATATGTGTGTGTATATATATATATATATATTTGTGTGTGTATATGTATTTTAGGGAAGGATCTACGGGGTATTCAGGGTCTCACTACTAGATCAGACTCATAGTGATCTGCCTGTTTACAGCTTCCTCAAGAGTTGGGATTACAGGTGCACGCCACCACACTCAGTCTCAATTGCTGTCTCAGTATGTCCCAGGAGTAGGGCAGGCACGGCAGGCCTAGGGATCAAAACCCCGGCCCCTACCCCTGCTTGCAGGTACCTTAATCCGCTGAGCTATTTGGCTAGCCCTTCCATCATATTTTAGAGGAAGAAACTTTGGCTTAAAAAATATATATTAGTCAGGGCATGATGGTGCATGCTTGTAATCCTAGCACTCTGGGAAGTTAAGGCAGATGGATCACAAGTCCTAGCCCAGCCTAGGTAACTTAATGAGACTTCCATCTCAAAATAAAAGTGAGGACCGGGAAGATAGCTCAGCGATGTAAACACCTGCCTAGCAAGCACAAGGTCCTGAGTTTGATCCTGGGTACCAAAATAAATAAATAAATTTAAAAGTGAGCTGGGAATGTAGCTCAGTGTAAAGGTCCTGGATTCAGTCCCCAGTACCATCACCACCACCAATGCACGCATGTATACACACACACGGGCAAAATATCTTATTCAAGGGACCAAAACTAAGTTTATGAACCTTCTTCTGGCTCTAAACTGCACTTAACAGTCATATTGTTATGTCATCCCCCAAAAAAATTCTAGATACAGAATCACATTGCTGTGGGGCTCAGCTGGCTCAAGAAGGACTAGCAAGTGAGAAAGAGGCCTTTGCAGATAGCCCAGATTCCGCCCTTGGCTCTGCTGCCTAACTGGTGTTGGTTATATCAGATAAATTCTGCGTGTTCTCTGGATTTCACTTTTCCAACACGTGAAACAGAGATGCTAAGCTATGTCAGTGATTACCCTGGTCGCCTGTGGCGCCTGTTACATCCTGCTACATATCCTGACTACTGTGATGCAGTACGTGTAGGGTGGTCAGAAAATGTTGTTTATCAGACACCCTAAATGATACCGGTGGAACCAGAGCTCTAAAGGTTTGGCCAACTTCTGTCACCCCGCCCAGGACGCTATAGTCTTAGGAAGGGTGTGGAAGTCAGGCCCGGGCCAGCCTAGGTCTGCGGGGTTCAAAGTTCCCAAATCATCGCGTGCGGGACGTCAAAGGTCCTCACACCACCTCACAGATGCGTGGTCCTGAGTGACGTGAGCCTGGTGCCACCAAGAGTCCCTTTTCTCTTCTCTCTGGCGCGAGGCCTCGCTGAAGTGAATCTCGCAGTGCAAACGTCACCGAGAAAGCCGGAGAAAGAGGAGCCCGGCAAACAACGATTTGGGCTTGGCACGCCCCCTACCTGGATCCACGGACCCCTCACACACTCACCTGCCCGTACGGATAACTTGCCATGGCGACTCTGACGTCAAAGGCGGATAAAGGCGGGGCTTCCTGCTCTCAAAGTGGTCCCTTTGTGGGGGGGAGTCTAACGGCGAGCCTACTCCTGATTGGACGAAAAGACTGTCAATCTTTGGCGAAGTCTGCCGGAAGTGACGTCTAGATCAGTGGACGGTTTTTACCGTACAGATCGGAAGCTAAGGGCAGAGTCCAAGTGTCCGGAAGTCTTGATTTTTATAGTAAAGCACTTATCTCTCCCTTCCCTGACTTAGAGTAGGTTCTTGGGCTGTTCAGGCCAAGATATTTAGTGAAATAACTGGGGCAGGTATTGCTGTGGCGGCCATTTTATAACCTGGCAAATGGGATGCATCATAGTGGCGTGTAACTGTTGTCGCTCCAAGTTTCCGCCCAAAGAGGGCCCTGCGGTTGCCATGACTACAAGGAACTAATCCCTGCCCCCTGGAAAAGATGGAGGCTTGGCGAAAGTACTCTTCTCTATTTTCAAGTCGGTGGCTGTGGAGTGGGCTACGGATCTGTGGTCTTGGGGTGGGGATGGGGAACCCAAATCGTTAGAGAAGGAGAAAAAATTAGATGATCTAGTGCCTGTTCATGAATAGGGAAAATGGAGGCCCAGAAAGACAGCGACTTACTTGCCCTAGTTCACAATGAGATCACAACAAAAAGTGGGTTCAGTGGTTGCCCAGGTCTCAGCAGTAGAGTCTAGGTTGGTCACCTTAGTCAGTCAGCTTGTGGTTCCTAAGACCTCAACATATACTTACCTCTGTAGGTTCAAAGCCTATACAGTATTTGTTTCAGAGTTTACTTGATTAATTGGTTAAATTCTTCCACGATTTTGTCATTTTTGCCTGCTGTTATACCCCAGTATCTACAATGACAACACTGTGCTTTATAAATAGAGTAATGAATAATTTAGGATTATGAATCTAGCAGTTTACAAAATCACAGAGCTGATCCTAATGCTTGCCCATCTAATGGCCTGCAACACATGCTCCTTTACATCTGCAAAATAAAGCCACTTCATCCGGGCATCACAGGCCCCTTGCAATCTGGCCCAACCTCACTTTTTAAATCTTTCTCACAGCACCAGTCTATGCCCCACTCAGTATTCTCCTGAGCTCAGTTTCTTTTCTTTCTTTCTTTCTCTTTCTTTCTTTCTTTCTTTCTTTCTTTCTTTCTTTCTTTCTTTCTTTTTTTCTTTGAGGAACTGGGGATTGAACTCAGACCCTTGCGCTTGCCAGGGAAGCGCTTATTCTACTGAGCCATCTCCCCAACCCCCTTGAGCTCAGTTTCATTATTCAGCACTCTTACTTTGGTGTGGAGGGTATTGATTTTATTACTTTCTAACTGTATGATCTTGGACAAGTTATTTTACCTAAGTCAGCTTTCCTCAATTGTCAGAAATAAATATATTGGAAATTTGAAAATGAATTTTCTAAATGTGGTGTTGCATGCCAAGAGCCTGTAATCCTAGCTCTTTGGAGGGTTGAGGCAAGAGGATTGCAAGTCTGAGGTCAGTCTGGGCAATTTACTGAGACCCTGTCTAAAAATAATAATATACATGAAGGAAGGAAGAAGGCAAAGAAAATGAGTTTGTTATACCTGTTTATGCCCCCAAACCATGGTCAAATCACTCTTTTCACCTGGACTAGTAGCCCTCACCTTCCATCTCCAGTTCTTCCAGCCTCAATTCCAATCCTGTCCTTCACCCAGCTTCCCCATCCAGCTCAAAAGTTAGCCACTCTTGCCAGTCTCTTTTTGTATTTGATACTGGCCACTTTCCCATATTCCATCCTACTTTGTCTAAGAGTTCTCTTTCATGTCCTAAACCCATTTGTCCCCATTTCAGAAAACCCAGTCTCTCAGGCCAAAAGACCTAGTATGTTTCTTCCGTATCTGTTGCTCAGCTCATTCCCCTACCTCCATTCACTGTGGTTAAAAAATATACCTGCATTTATTCTTCCTCTCTGCACTATCTGGTCCAGGACACCCTCATCTGTATCCTAGCTCACTACAGTAGCCTCCTGGCCAGTGTCCCCTCTTTGAGTTTTCCACACACACTTCATTCTCCATAGAGTAGCCAGAGTGATTATCTTGAAATGGGAATCAGATGATATCACTCCTTGGCCTAAACTCCTCCAAGAGCTTCCAGTCACATTTATAACAAAATCTAAACTTGTGATTTTCATGCCCTACATGACCCAGACCCTGTCCACGTCACCAATTTCACTGTCAGCCATTGCTACCTTCTTCAGCTCACCCCTCCCACACTGGCCTGATTGACATTCCTGGAACATACTGAGCTCATTCCTGATTCCAAGTCTTTGGATTTATTCTGTCCTCTATCTAGAATACTATTCCCTTGGCTTTCCACTGGACGGCTCCTTGTCATCCAGGTCTAAGGTAAAATAGCACCTCGTGGAGAGATGGGGAAATTCCTGGACACCACACATCTAAGGTACATGGCTACCCCATGCACATTCCAGTCATCTACAAACATACCACTGCTTGCATGCATTTTTAAGGTTATATTGAGTATGGTAGGCTTCTCTTTTATTCACTTCTCTACCCGAAGGGCCTCCAATAGTACCTGTCATGAATTCATTAAATGTTAGTGGTTATTATTATCATGTATTGAATGTTAACAGATATTGTGCTAAGTATTGCTTTAATTTTTAACAATGATCTTTTGAAATAAATACTACCTATTTATACTGAGGAGCTGAGGCTCTGAGAAGCTAAATGACTTCCTTAAATCAAAAGGATAAATGGAGGGCTGGGGAGATAGCTCAGTGGAATAAGTGCTTGCCTGGCAAGTGCAAGGTCCTGAGTTCCATCCCTGGTACCATTTAAAAAAAAAAAAAAAGAGAGAGAGAGAGAGAGAGAGAGAGAGAGAGAGAGAGAGAGATAAATGGAGAATTCAGGACTTTTTAAAATGCAGAATCAGTTCTTATTTTTTTGGTATTAGGAATCAAACTACTGCACTTGCCAGAGAATTCAGGATTTGAACCCAAGTTCACGCTGTTTTAACCTCTCAATACTTAATAGTAGGTTTCATGTCTTTTTTACCTTCATAACCTCACAGTGCAGAAGATATTGGTGGACTTCAATGGAAAAATCTCAGAAAGGAAGTTCCAAAGGTGGGGGGGTGGTGCTAGAGCTCACTAAAGGGTACTTAGGATATTAGCCTGTGAGAAAATAGGGACACCCGGCTTGCTGAGGGTCATGTGACTCACATTCATTTATTCCACAAACACATTAGCCTACTGAGTTCCCATGATTCGCTGGGCTGTGTTAGGTGCTGAGTACTCACTGCCTATGAGAATTCTTTGTCCCCATCCCGGATGCCTGGCTAAAGACTCAAGAGAGCTCTCTGTGGGACATCTGCTATGTGGAAGGCAGGGGCATCCAAATATTCGTTCAGGCAGCCAGACACCAACCCAAGCCAACATCCAGGGCTATGCCTGCAGCAGGCCCAGGTGTGTTTATTTTGGAGAAGCCTAGATGAAAGAGAGCTCAGGATCTTCCAAAGACTGAAAAACAATTCATTTCCCAAACCTCAACTACCTGAGGCAGACAAAAGTGGGTGGGGACATTCCTGTTATTGTTTCAGTTTTAGCCAAAGAGGAAAACCTAGATTCCAATCCTTCATAACTTCCGGAGTTCATGGAAGCCCTGTGGTTGACCTATCTGAGGTGAGACAGATCTTGGTGTTGGAAGGCCTGGCCATTGGAAAATATCACCTCCCTCAGAGACACATCCTCCCCACAGCTTCCTGGCTGAGTACCAGGCTCCTGTGTGGCTCCTGTGAGAAAGAATGCCAACACCTACCTAATTATTATGGAATGACTTCTCTTTGATTCCCTCTAGAACCAGTTCTGAAATTTAAATTGCAGTTGAATTTTGTAAATTGGAGAGTGATTTGCAGCTTTTCACAGAACCAAGCAAAACGTGAGAACAGCAGACGTGGCAACTGGGCCACACTGCCCCTTCCAATGTGGGATCATAGAGCAAGCACACTGGTTCAGATCTATTCCTATAAACTATTCAGGACAGCAACAAAAAGGGATTGACAGACTGGCTGCCTGTGAAGACGGCATCTCCTTAGATTCTGTTGAATTGTGGCAACAGGAAAATATGACAATAAGGAAAATTTAAATTCCAGAAAACATCAAATTCGGGGTTTTTCTCTGCAGGATAAATACACCCCAGCATTTTATCCGTCTTATAGAGCAAATGATTCTCAAATTAGGGACATCCCTGTTGTTCCTCACATTGCCATCAGTAAACTCCCCATTAGGTAAACCAGACTCAAAATACCTTTGTGTAAAGCCCATCAGTGGCGCCCCACTGTGTCTTCCCTGCTTGTGCTTAGCCATCCAACCATGCCACCCTCTGTCCCATCCTAGCCTGCTGTGCCCAATCAGCTCAGAACTTGGCACATGCTGTTCCCTCTGCTTGGATCGATCACTTTCTCTCTAGACACCATTAGGTCCCCTAGCAATGCACACCCCTGGAACCCGGTGCTGCCCCATCATCCCACTTTATCGTAATTGCTTAACTGTCCACTCTCCCTACAGATACCATGGGGCAAGAACCATATCTGTCTAGTTTGCCTTGGATCCCCAGAGCCCAGGACATTTCCTGGCACAGAGTAGGAAGAGGAAATAGGCGCCTCTAGTTAGACTTTGTCGATCTGAATGATCTCTGCGTTGCCTTCAAAGCCTGGAATAGACTAAGAAATGAAGCTGGAAGAATACCAGGGTGGGAGTGTGGAAAGGCTGCCTAAGAACAGCAGAAGGTGTGTGCCCCTCCTTCTTTTGTCTTCAGCTTCCCTAGCTCCTGAACTGATGAGCAAGATTCACAGAATTTTTTTTGCTGACCACAGAAGAGGAGACTATAAAATTCAGCTTCCCATCTGGTTCTTCATGGTCCAAGAAAATACAGCAATTTCAAATTCCAGGGAGGTGAGCACTGAAATCATGGTAGCTTAAGCCTAGCCTGTCATACATTTCCCAAAGAGTGGCCCGGATGTGACTCAGGAAGAAAAGGCGTAA